ATAGAGTAATATCTTCTCAGTTATTGTGTTGTGAAGCTTATTATTAAACAAATATAAGAGTCTCAATTATTTGTGTGATAGCTGGGTTAAGAGAGAAACTAAGAGAAACAAACACAGTTTTGTAAAAATAACTTTAACATTTTGGCACCCAACATGGGGCTGAACTTATGTAGAATGTAAAACTACAGAACAGTTTCTTAATTTGACCTGGAACCCCTGCACAGGTGTAGCCCATGGCAGTTCAGTGTTTAAGTGGGTTACATAGCAATGGGAAGAGGGACTGCCTCTGACATAATCTGATTGGCCTGCTCGTTGATCACTTCCCCCTGAGGGGGGAGCAGCCTTATCAGGCCACAGTAGAGGACAGTGCAGCCACTTTTGATGAGAACTGATAGACTAAGGTCAGAAAGAAGAGGAGAACCTCCCCTATCAGTGGACTTGGGGAGTGGCATGCATGCAGAAAGGGGAGGGAGGGTGGGATCGGGAGGGGAGGAGGGAGGGGCTTATGGGGGGATACAAAATGAATAAAGTGTAATTAATAAAAAATTAAAAAAAAGCATCTATCATCTTCAGAAAAAAAAAAAAAGAAAATAACCACAGTTTTAAAGGCAGGAGCTCACAGCTTACTGATTAGACAGCTCCCCACCTCTAGCAGCAAGGCCTTCTGTCCACTACAAAAAAATAAAACAAAAACAAAACAAAAACCAAAAAACTGATACAAACTCCAGAGGGACAGTTCTTTTTTTTAGGAAACCCTTGCTAAGAAAGAAAGAGTGGCTTTTTAACACAAGCAAGTTTCTTTTTTTTCAATTAAATTTTTATTTTTTATATTAATTACAGTTTATTCACTTTGTATTCCAGCTGTAGCCCCCTCCTTCATTCCCTTCTGACCCCCCCTCCCTCATCTCCTCCCATTCCCCTCTCCAAGTCCACTGATAGGGGAGGTCCTCTTCCCCTTTCATCTGACCCTAGTCTATCAGGTCTCATCAGGACCAACCATTCATGGATATAAGCTAGAACCCCTGCTCACATGTAGCCCATGGCAGCTCATTATCCAGGTGGGTTCCCTAGTAAGAAGAACAGGGACTGTCTCTGATATGAACTCAGTGGCTGGCTCTTTGATCACCTCCCCCTGAAGGGGGGGGCAGCCTTGCCAGACCACAGAGGAGGACAATGCAGCCAGTCCTGACAAGCAAGTTTCTTAATACTTTCTAGTCAAAAAGCTGAATCCCTTTGAGAAGGAGCTCTTGTTGGCCTGACTAATGTAGGCCAGAGGAATAAACATTTTATTTTCTGTTTTTTTTTTTTTTTTGTTTTTTTTTTTTTTGGTATAGTAACCCTCCTTGAGTTGGAGTTTTTGTTCTAGTATCCTCAGTAGGGCTGGGTTAGTGGAAAGATATTGTTTAAATTTGGCTTTGTCATGGAATATCTGTTTTCTCCATTGATAGTGATTGAAAATTTTGCTGGATATAGTAGTCTGAGTGGTCTCTTAGGGTCTGCATGATATCTGCCCAGGCCCTTTTGGCTTTTAAAGTCTCTGTTGTGAAGTCTGGTGTTACTCTCATAGGTCTGCTTTTATATGTTATTTGGCCATAATCCCTTGCAGCTTTTACTATTTTTCTTTGTTCTGTACATTTAGTGGTTTAATTAATTAATTAATTAATTAAAATTAATTCATTTTGTATCCCTTCTACAGCCTCTTCCCTCGTCTCCTCCAAGTCCCAGCTACCCTCCTTCTTCTCCCCCTATGATCCCCTAATAGGGGAGGACCTCCTGCCCTTCTATCTGACCCTAGCCTATCAGGTCTCATGAAGGCTGGATGCATCATCTTCCTCTATGGCCTGGCAAGGCTGCACCCCCCACAGGGAGGTGGTGAAAGATCTGGCCACTGAGTTCATGTCAGAGACAGCCCCTGCTCCCCTTACTAGGGAACTCACTTGGAAACTGAGCAGCCTATGGGCCTCCTTTGAACAGGGTTTCTAGGTCCTCTCCATTCATGGTCCTTGGTTGGAGTATCAGTCATGCAGGATACCTGGGCCCAGGTATTTTGGCTCTGTTGTTTTCCTTGTGGAGTTCTTGTCCCTTCCAGGTCTTTCTAGCTCCCTCTTCTTCCATGAAGATTCTGGCACTCTGCCCAAAGTTTAGCTATGAGTCTTAGTATCTCTTCCATACCATGGTGGGTAGAATCTTTCAGGGGTCCTCTGTGGAAGGCTCCTGTCCTGTTCCTTGTCTTCTCCTACATCTGATGTCTATCCTGTTTGCCCTTCTGAATGAGGATTAAGCATCTTCCCTTGGTTCTTGTTGTTTAGCTTCTTTAGGACTGTGGATTTTAGTATGTTCATCCTATATTTTATGGATAATATTAGTGGTTTGATTATATGGTGGGAGAATTTTCTTTTTTGGTTCAATCTGTTTGGAGTTCTATAGGCTTATGTTTATAGGCATCTCTTTCCTTAGGTTAGAGAAATTTCCTTCTATGATTTTGTTGATATTTTCTGGGCCTTTGAGCTAGGAATTTTTTCCTTCTTTTATTCCTATTATTCTTAGGTTTGGTCTTTTCATAGTGTCCCAAATTTCCTAGATGTTTTGTGTTAGAAAGTTTTTAGATTTAGCGTTTTCTTTGACCGATGTATCAATGTCTTTTATCTTATCCTCTGTGCCTGAGATTCTGTCTTCCATCTCTTGCATTCTGTTTGTGATGCTTGTGTCTGTAGTTGCTGTTCTCTTTCCTAGGTTTTTGATCTCCATGATTTCTTCAGTTGTGTTTTCTTTATTGCTTCTATTTCCATTTTCAGGTCTTGAACAGTTTTATTAATTTACTTCTCCTATTTGCTTTTATTTTTCCATATTTATTTAAGGGATTTATTAATTTCCTGTACCGGTTTGATTGTATTATTTTAATTTCTTTGAAAGATTTATTAATTTTCTCTTTAAAGGCCTCTAGAATCTTCATAAAATCACATTCAATGTCTTTTTTGCTGTTGAGGTGTGTTAGGATATCTAGGGCTTGTAGTAGTAGGAGGAATCTGGGTTCTTATTGTGCCATATTGCCCTCAATTTTGTTGAGTGTGTTTTTACGCTGGCCTTTACCCAAATGGTTGTCCCTGGTGTTGGCTGGCCTGGTGGCCCCTGATGGCAGTAGGCCTCTGGGATTGCCTTTTGAGCTGGTTGTTCCTGATGGCTGCAGGCCTCTGTTGCTCTCTGATGGCTGACTGCCTCTGGTAGTCCCTGCTGGCTGCCGATCTCTGGGATTTCAAGCAGAGCTGGGGCCTTGGAAGTGGTGTGGGGGGGGACAGGGCAGCCCTCACTGCTCCACATATTTTTTCTTTACTTTGATCCATGTTTATTGTTCTGTTCTACTTTCCAAGAGATTTAAGTGTTATAAGTGTAGTCTTCTATACACATTTATTAGATTTAGAAATATCTTTGTTTCAAAAGACAATATGCAACACTTGTTCATATTGCACCCTGAAGGAAAAATATCTATTTGGAGATTGGGCAAGTGTCATTGAAAAACTAGGGTTTTTTTCCGTTTAGCCTGAGTGCAGTGCTGATTTTGTCATAGAATCCCCCTAATTACCTATGCTGCAGCTTCATACAGAATAGACGGGTCTACTGTTATTATTAGGAAGATCTCAGGCTAAGAATAGTGACATAGTTGATTTGATATTATTCATATGCATGAAAATTTTTAAAGTGCAGCACACAAGCATATACATAGCTGTGTGAGGTGGTTCTCCCCCATAGTCTCAGCGTTTAGGAAGCTAAAGAGGAGGAGCACTGTGAGTTTAAGTCAGCATACAAAAAGTCAGATTACAAAAAGAATTTCAGACCAAAATGGACTACATGGCGAGACTCTTTCTAAAAAACCAAACAAAACCAAATCAATATACACCTAGTTTAATATGTACCTAAACATTTAAAATAGTAAAGCAGATTTGTTTTTTCTATAAAGAAATTTGTGTGTCCTTGTTGGAACACAGTCTAAGAATGAGTCGTGTGAGAATTCTGAGTACCTGCGAGAAGACAAGAATCTTTGTGACCTTAGTTTCTTCAAAACAGAATTGTTCTTGGAATGTGTTTTTGTGCTCCTCCCAGATGTAATGGATAGGAGTGAGTTTACTTCAGCTCTTATTATTTCTATGGCTCTATGGAAAAACATGTTTTTGCCATGTGCAGCTTGTCCTTATGATTGTATACTTTACTCAGGTAATTCTTAACCCCCAGAGAATAAGTTGACTGTTGCTCTGAATAAAGTTGGCTATTGCATGAGACTTTTGTCCTTTCTCCCAGGTCCGTGCCGCCAATGAGAGTACTAAGCATGTCCTCAAAGTAAATGACCTACATTTTTATCTTTCTCCTTTTTGAAATTTCTGCACACCAGATCAGTTCAGTTTGCAGGAATAAAAACATTTGCTTCATTTCTGTTGTATGTTAAGAACCTTATCAGTAAATTTTAAGATAATTTTCTTGGGGGCTCAGAAGATGGCTCAATCAGTAAGAGCACATGCTATGTAAATAGGAGAAGCAGAGTTTGAATCTCTGTCACCCATGCAAGAAATCAGGGGTGGCCAGCCAGCCAAATATCATGAGCTTCTGGCTCAGTGAGAGACTGTGTCTAGGAGGACACTGGATATCCTGTGCTTGTCTTTTTGAGGTCATAGGTGTGTGCAGTTGCATACCTACAAGCATGCAACACACACACACACACACACACACACACAGTCTTGAGGCAGTTTCTGAGCTGACTGAATTAAGATGAGTGGATTTTGTTTATCAAAAATAATATCGCAGTTGCTTTTGCCTATTACCTTGGACACAGTTTAAACACCTACTGTCAAAGAAGTAGACTTTAGAGAGTGCGTAAACCTGTTAATTTGAAGAGAGGAAAAGTGGGCATTAAAAACCTCTTGGCACATAAACATGATACATAGACCATCACCTACTGTGCGAAAGAGAAGGATGTTTGAAAAACCTGCTCTGACGTTTTAACTTTCCAGATTAGAAAGAGAATATTTCTCCAAAAACAAGAAACTAAATGAAGAGATCGAAGAACAGAAGAAAGTAATTATAGATCTTTCAAAGAGACTCCAATATAATGAAAAAAGTTGCAGTGAGCTACAGGAGGAACTTGTAATGGTAAGGATAAAGATAAAAACCCTATGGCAATGACTTTATTGGGCCATACTTGATGTGTAGCAAGTTTATTCCCCTGCCATGTATCATGAGATGATAGTGTGAAAGTAGTTTTAGTGACATTGTTAAAAATTTCAAACTGGAAGTACTGATTACATCGAATACATGCATAATAAAAAAACTCCCTAACTTGGAACAGTTGGGAAAAACCAGCTGAATTAATAACAATTCTGAATTATTGAATATTTTAAAATGTATTCAGGGTTTTTTTTTTTTTTTTTTTTTTTTTTTTTACTTGAAGTGCATTGAGTGATTTTACCTAGAGGAAATCCACACTTGTTTTTTAAAATTACTTTTTAAATTTATTACAATTTATTCACTTTGTATCCCAGCTGTAGCCCCTCCCTCAACCCCTTCCAATCCCGCCCTCCTTCCTTCATCTTCTCCCATGCCCCTCCCCAGTCCACTAATAAAGGAGGTCCTCCCCTCCTTCCATCTGACCCCTAGCCTATCAGGTCTCATCAGGACTGGCTGCATTGTCTTCCTCTGTGGCCTGGCAAGGTGCTCTCCCATCAGGGGGAGGTGATCAAAGAGCAGGCCACTGTCTCTTCATGTCAGAGACAGTCCCTTTTCTTCTTACTAGGGAACCCACTTGGATAATGAGCTGCCATGGACTACATCTGAGCAGGGGTTCTAGGATATCTCCATGAATGGTCCTTGGTTGGAGTACCAGTTTTAGAAAAGACCCTGGTTTGGTTCTGTTGCTCTCCTTGTGTAGCAACATATAGTCCACATTTGTAATCAATAGATCTGATAATTTTAGTGACTTCATTTTCTAATCATTTTGTATATTTATATTACATTACATAAACATCTAATCAAATTGATCATTTTGAGTAAACTAGTTATTATACAATTTATTTCTAAAATACTGATATGTTCTTGTGAACTGTCCTGTATTTGAAAAGTACCATCGTCACCCTGTTGCATTAGACTATGTCAGGCTTCTTGCCATGTGTGTATCACATTCATGCAGTACCTTCAGCAACCAGAAGAAGGCATCAGATGCCGTAGAACTGGAGTTGCAAATGATTTGAGCCACTACTTCAGTAGCTGGGGATCAAACCAGGGCCCTCTGGAAGAGCATCCAGTGCTCTTAGCCACTGAGCAGCCACATGCCATGTAATCTAGGACTCTTCATCAGTGGAGAAAAATACCCTAGGGTGGTTGAGTTGATTGCTGAGTTTGGTCTGCTGGTTTACTAAACCTTGTTCTCAGTAGTTTGGAAAGTGGGCCAGAATGTAAGAGTGTAGAGTTCAGACATTATCACTGATGTAAGTTGCACAGTTTCTCTTGGTTCTGAGAAGAACCAAGTAGTCTAATAAGTAGTCTAAAAAGCAAGACTTACTTAATTCACCACAGATTAATGGGTGTTTTGTGATTAGAAAATGTTCTTGGTTGCAAAAGATTTTTTAATTTGACAGTTACATGCTGATGGATAGTCTGAGGCAAGTTGCAACACATCAGAAACCTCGTTTGCTTGGCATTTTTCCTATTAAACTCTGTTGTTTTGGTAAGGGTGCTGAAAATTGTAGACTCATAGTTTCTCAAAAGCATGATAGGTCACTAAAAGCAGTTGAAGAACTAAGGAGATGTTAAAAAAAATTATGAGGTTGCAACCTAAGTGATGTACAGTTTATGTGGTTCACATGAATGTTTTCTATTCTTCCACCGCTCAAATTCTTTGTGTGTTATTTTAAAGTTAGTACACAGTGAGGTTTCTGTCTGTGTTATTTTTTCTATTGCTATAATTAAATATTTAACAAGTGTGACTTTAGGGAGAAAATGTTTATTTTGACTCACACTAGAAGGCTAAAGTCCTTGCTGATGAGGGAATCATGGCTGTGGGACTTGAGGGAACTGGTCACATTTCATCTGCAGCCATGAAGCAGAGTGTTGGCTGCCTGGGCTGAGCAGATTCCCATCACAGTGGGCGGGTCTTCCCACTCCTGTTGACCCTTATCTCTCATAGTCATGCCCAGTGGTTCATCTTATCAAGATGACAGTGAGATTAAACATCATAATTTCACTTTGGCATTTTTATACACATTTATCATTTTGTTCTTTTCTTACATGTTTCTCTTTTTTCATCTTTTTGCTTTTTTCTCTTTCCCTATTACCTTTTCTTTCAACCTTAATTTTTGTTGTTTGTTTCTACAGACCTGAGGCTTGAAACCTTGGCCCCTTGCATGTTAAGCAAGTGCAGTATTACTGAGTTCATGTCTCTAGCTCTGAACCTTTTTGTGCGCTGTACTTCTTTTAAAGTTTCCTTTTTATTCTTGTCATGTGAGTGTGATGTACAAATGAGTGTGGGAAGGTCAGAGGACAGCTTTTGGAAGTCTCTCCTACTGTGGATTCTGGGGAATGGAACTCAGAGCATTCAGCTGCAGGAGCAGCTGTTTTTACCCACTGAGCCATTATGCTGACCCTGTTTAAAATTATTGTTCTGTATTTCCTTACCTGACTGTACTAGGAAATTTAAGTATTATTTACTGAAAAATTATTGAATGAAAATAGCATTGCTAGTAAGTATATTTTTTATTTCTACAGTTATTAATTATTGTGCTTTCTAAGTTTTATTGTCATTTTCTTTTGATTTTCTTATTCTTCTGTCATTGATATTTTGATAATAAAAAGACAGGAAGCTGAAAACTAATTGATTTTATATTACTATTTGTTTTTATTAATACAGTTCATTTTCACAGTTTAACACACACACATATAGACATATATAATGCGTATCGATGACTCCCACCTCCTACCCTTCCATATAACCCCATCACCATCAACCCCTCTCTCCCTACAAGGCCCTTCGCATATTTTTTGTATAGTTTTTGTGACTTACTCAGTTTAACCAGGGCTGTCCACATGAGTGAGGTTGGAACTATCCTTTGGAACAGTGGGCTCAGCAGTAGCTACACAACTGAAAGACAGTTACTCTCTCACTCTTCTAGCATTTCTAAGTAGCCAGAACTTTCCCATGGAGGAATAGGGTTCCAGGAGCCCCTGCTCCATCTGTGACTGACTGTTGACAGGCCTGGTCAAATTTTAGCAGTCCAGGTGCAGGCAAGTGCCCTTCCTGTGAGTTCATGGTTGCCGTGCCATGTCATGCCAATGGATAGCATTTCATAGCTTCCCTGTCTATCATCCAGAGCTTATTTTCTTTCTGCCCCCTCTTCTACAGTATACTCTGAGTCGTAGAGTGGGTGAGGTATATATACGCCAGGGCTGAACATTTATTCTTAGCATTTTGACCAGGCTTTGTTTCCACTGCAAAAAAGAGACACTAATCACAGACAAGAACAGTACACAAGTATTTAGAAGGTGGTTTGATACCCTATCAGTTTAAATAAAATGACAGCAGTAAGTTTCTGTCAGGACCTATGACCTCCTCAGATATAAATTTTTGACCAGGCTTATGGAAGCAGACATGAAGTCTCTCCTCTGGATTGACCCTCAAATCCAGTCTGAAGACAGTTGGTTACTTCTTATCCCAGTTAGTTTTAACTGTCAACATGATACAACCTAGTTGCACTTGAGAAGGGAGTATAGCAGAGGAGATGCCCAGCTTAGACTGGCCTGTGGGCCTGTCTCCAGCCATTGTTGTGCATATTCAGGAATTGTTGCAGGAAGATCCAGATCACTGTGGGTGACACTGTTTCCTGGGGAGGTGTCCCTGGACTCTGAGAAATCTACTGAGGGATGAGCAAGCTGGCCAGCAAGCAGCCTTCCTCCATGGTTTCTGTTCCAGTTCCTGTCTCAACTTTCCTCAGTGCTGTACAGTAACCTGAAATCTGAAATAAGCCCTTTCCTCTTCTGCTTTGCTTTTTGTCAGTGTTTTAATCACAGCAACAGAGATGAAACTAGCACACCCCCCTAAGTCAAGCCACTGTTGTACCAGTGAGCACATCTTGCCTGGCAGGCTGATATTGTAGCACTCAAGATTTCCAGCTGGGTAAAACTGTGTTCTCCCCCTATGGCTTGTGTTGTACCTTCCGGCACTATGTGCAACAGCCAGCAGGGAGGGAGCTTCCTATTTGGTTCCATATTGATTTTTCTGTGTCCTGAAACCAAGTGAGCATGGTGTCTTCAGCATCAGGGCATTCCCACCTAGTTGTGTGGGCAATGAAGAGCAATTGCAATAGCATGTACTGTTTTTGGGGCCTCAGGCCTTCCTGACCAACAACTAGCAGGGAGGTATCCCATACCAGCCACTGGGCTTTTCATGTCATCACTCATGGCTTCTGGGATTGGAATTATCCATCCATGTAGGGAACCTATGTTTTTGTTTTCTCTGTTTCTTATTATGGTAAAATATATGAATATAAACTTTACATTAGTTATCTAAATATTTTTAATATACTCCTTTATTGATTTTCTTCTTAACAGGAGAAGGCTAGGCAGTAGGTAACACTAACCATATTGGAAGGGCAGCCAAGGATGATGCCTGACATCAACCTCAGGCCTCCTTGTGTATAGATGACCACACCTACACGAATTTGCACACACACATGCACACCCCCAAGAATAGGAGAAGAAAACAGAAATATCAGATTAAAAGTTTAAAGTCACAAAATAGAGATTTTGTATTTTGTAGTGTTATATCTCAAAACTCTGGCTGATGCTTTAAATTAATAATTTTATTATGAAGAATATTTGACTCATGAGGAAACTTTTGGCTTGTTTATTTTGGGAACAAAATTGTTTTTATGGCCCTCTGTAATCTTTCTGAAATTTAATTTTAGGTATTTTGACATTTTATAGGGTTAAAATAGGCAACATAAACCATTTACCGCTAGTTCTTTTTTCATGCTAATAGCATGTTTCTAGGGCAGGTCCTCTTAAGGACCATTATTCAAGTCTTGGTCTTTATTTTCTCTGCTGCATTGGAAGAGAAAAATTAAAGCCACTTTCCTCATTAGTTTTCTGGTGAAGCTAGAAAA